TGCCTGTGTCTGTGCACACACAATGGAAGGAAGTGTCTGGACTTTATGCCTGTGTCTGTGCACACACAATGGAAGGAAGTGTCTGGACTTTATGCCTGTGTCTGTGCACACACAATGGAAGGAAGTGTCTGGACTTTATGCCTGTGTCTGTGCACACACAATGGAAGGAAGTGTCTGGACTTTATGCCTGTGTCTGTGCACACACAATGGAAGGAAGTGTCTGGACTTTATGCCTGTGTCTGTGCACACACAATGGAAGTGTCTGGACTTCCTGTGTGTGCCTGTGTCTGTGCACACACAATGGAAGTGTCTGGACTTTCTGTGTGTGCCTGTGTCTGAGCACACACAATGGAAGGGTGGATATTGCCACTGATGATTCTGAAATAAATGAGTGAAAATCAGAGTTGAGTTCTGCTTTTGTCTTTCCATCCACCCTGCCCGTGTGTTCTATTTTCTCTACTACACCATTTATTTTTTTCTCTAAGTAGATTATCCCAAAATGTCTTTGCTGGCTGCGGTCTCATTTAGCATCTTCCACTCCTCCTTGTTATTTTAACCCAAGCCCAGGTAATGACCCATGGTTTTAACTGTCTCCAGCAGTGTAAGGCTGGTAGTTATTTAGGGAGGTTCTTGGCTGCTGGAGTGGGAGCAGAGGAAACCCATGGTGTTTGCGCCTAGACATGTATCCAGGCTTCATGCTTCCAACCAGTGTCTCTGGAGCACTTTACAGTGGGCTTTGGAATGATTTAGTTGAAAATCAACTTATGGATTCTTCCTTGATTGGCTTGGCCAGGGTTAATCTGTCATTGGCCCAGCCAAGCTGGCTTCTATTATGCAGCCACACTGAGGATTTCCGGTGTTGCTCTTGTCCTAAGGGAGGCTGACTGTTTTTAGAAACAAATCTTGGTGTTGGTGAAGGCCTTGCATCCTCTGAAGTGAACCCAGCAGGGCTCTCATCTGACTCAGCCCTCCAGACTTTCCCTTGAAAAGAGCAAGTCTTGGATTTGGCATCTGCATGCTAGAGGGTTATGGTTTTATTTTTTTCTCCCCAAGATTAAATAAAGACTTGCTGTTTATTTTCACCTCTTTGGATCGCCTCTTGTAAATGCTCAAGGGTACCCAGTCCAAGCTGGAAACACCTGTGACATCAGAACATGTGTAGAAAAAGGCTTTCTGTGGCTCTGGATACCCTGGAATAATTTAGAGAAGGAGCAAAGGTACCCTATGTCTCTCTTCTGAGGTGTCCCATGCTGAGCACGTTGATTTACATGTGGGGATGGGAGACCAGAGCTTTTATTATGAGGCTGGAATAACGAATGGCAGCTATTGGACACACCACACTGGCACTAGAAAGCAGTGATGTTAAGAAAAGAGTTGTTTGGGCAGTCTGTGAAGGCGAGAAAGCAAGCACTCGGGCTATCCTTGGAGACATCAGTTCTCCCCTAACTGCCCCCGGGGTTCATAAGAAAGAGATAAGCATGAAAAGTGAGAAGTTCTACTTCCTTTGTAATCCTTCAAGGATGCTGGATTTCCAGGGCCATTGGCAGGCATGTGGTGAGGACATGCTATATGCAAAAGTAACTGTCCCTTCCCACCCCATGGCGTTCTTGTCAAGGCCGTTGAGGCTCTGAGGTAGTCACATGGTTCTTCTAGAGGAAGTTTCTTATGATTAGGTTCACCCTGAACTCACAGAACCCAGATGACTAACTTCAGACTCTATAGAAAGATGAGTCTGTATATGTATTTAAATGTAGATATGTGTGTTACAGGTTTCAGAAAACTAAACCCATCTGTTTAGCTTTCCTTGGTCATTTCCACTCCCCTTTGTCCTATCTATCATAGTTCTACTCCATGACCCCCTAATTAAAATTTTGTAAAGCATCTTATAAAAGATATACTGGTACTGATGCTTTAAACTTTTATTATTGGTGGTGGTGGTGCATGTGTGTGTGTGTGTGTGTGTGTGTGTGTGTGTTCATGAGCTTGTGGGGATCAGAAAACAGATTGGGGGAGGCAACTCTCTCCTTTCATTTTGTTTCCAAGACAGAGTCCCTCTTGTTTCTGCACCCAGCACCCCAGAGCACCTGGTCCATGAGCTTCTTTGCAGTTCTTTTGTCTCAGCTTCCCAGCTTGCTACTGTAATGCTGAGATTATCATGCATTCCTCTGCATCCATTTTTTTGTGGGTTTCTGAAGGTTGAACTTGGGCCATCTGGCTTGAGTGACAAGTGCTATCATTACCTACGAAGCCATTTTTGAAGGCCCAAGATGCTGCATTTGTAATTGCCTATCTGAGTGAGTTTGTGAAGACTTGTACATCCCTCCCCACCTCAATTACTAGCTAGCCTTTCCAGGAGTTCACCCTTCATGCAGCTGAGATATCTTATGACACCTGCTGGTCTCCTAGAACCCTCTGGACATCTAGGATAAGGTATAAGTCAGAGTTGTACAAGCAAGAACAGGGGCCACACCTGTGAGCCTACAAACTTGCCAAATCAGAAGCATTTTGGCTGGGAAGAGTTCCGTGTGTTTTCTCTGGAAGCTTTACTGAAAGTTGGCTTATGTTCTTTGTGTATGGACAGACACATATTCCCAAGTTTGGGTCCTGTCTTTTCATTCTTTGTATGACTATCCTGGAATGGTGAAGCTTGTCTATAGGTACCACAATCACAGCATTTATAGCATCTCACCCTAGGGAATTTAAAACAGCTCCCTTGAGCAGTCCGTGTAAACACAAGTGTAGACAAAGGACTGAGTCAGGTTAGGAACACATCTGAACATCAGATCTGGATCTCCTCAGACTCACGCAGTCTCTAAACTGTGTGTTCATGTCTGTTTAGCGTGTAGCTATACAGTATACATTGCAATCATTTCTGTATGCTGATATGTCTTTCACTAAGAATAACAGTATATATAATACATAACTCACTTATTACTTACATAAATAACTTACTATTCCTGTCTTGGTATATGCATATGTGTGTGTAGAAAAGGCAGAGGTTGGCTTTGGGTGTCTCCCTCTATTGCTCTCCACCTTTTTATTTATTATTTATTGAGATGGAGTCTTTCCTTGAACCCGGAGCTTGACATTTAGGTTAGATTGAGAAGCCAGCAAATCCCAAGGGTCCACCTGTTTCCTTTGACCAGCACTGGGATTATATACATGTGCTACTACACCTGAATTTCACGTAGGTGCTGGGCAGGGGACCTGAAAAAACCATCTCCCCAGCACCCACTGGTAACATTTATTGAGTAATCATTAGGAATCAGACATTATATGTGTTCTAAGCACTCCATGTGCCTTCTGAGATGCCGAGCATGTGAGCATTGTTTTCTAATCCTTAATTTCACTTGCTGTAACTGAGGGACCAAACAGTTGGTACCTGCTGCTGTCAGTGTGTGGGGAATCCAGCAGTGCGTGGGCTGCTTCTGTGAGAAAATGTGCAAAGGACTCTCAGAGTGGATGGAGCCTTTGCTTTACAGCAGAGAAAGACACCCGAGGAGGTATTCCCAGCAGTAACCAGCACCGGCTGCTACAGAGGCCGGAGCACAGGAAGGGGTGTTCAGAGCAGGAGGCACTGGAGTGGTCTGTTCTTGGGGACCCACAGAAAATCACCAGTTGGAGAACGGTTATGTCCACAGGAGAAGGGAAGTAGGTGTGCTATGTGGACAGTCTGAGAGTCACAAGCTCGTCCTGGAGGCAGGAGCAGGCTTGTACATGGGGGCCTTTTGGAGCTGAGGTTAGAGAGGCAGATTAGAATAGAATGAATCACCCATGTGCCGAAATAAGGAATCTATTCTGTTCAGTAAATAATGGGGTTACATGGAAGTTTTTATGAGCAGCAAGGTGACAGAGTCAGATTACAAGGTCTGTGTGCTGCAAGCTTGGGATGACTAGTGACAAGGAGGGTGGTTGGAAGGTTGTGGCAAAGGTCCGGGCAGAGCAAGACACCTTGAAGCTACAAATGCCTACCGAGTGCCTTTGTTCACGGTTCCCACAGCTTAGAATGAGTCTGGCTCTTAGTTGCCACGTGGCCTTTTCCTAGATTGTGCTAGGGTCTTCCTCATGGAGACTTTGTTTAGTCGTGTGTCCCCCCCCCCCATGTGGATGGACTTTAGCTCTTGTCTCCTTCTATTCCCTGACTCTAGTATATTGTTCTTTCTGTCTTGGAATACATTTGTAAAAAACCCCTTGAACATCTTTACATACACTTATCTCTCCCCTTTTAAACCCAGCCCCTCCATAACAGGACCAGGCCTTTGCCTCCCTAAAATATTTGGCACGATTCCCGACATTTTTCCAACTCTCAATAAATGTGTGATGAATGAATTCTTTCCAAATAAAAGCAATGGCTCTATCTATGGAAAAGGAGACCCTAGAGCTGAGCCTGCTAAATATTGATAATCCCAGTATTTGGGGTGGGGTAGGTATGCTGAGGCAGGAGGTTCAAGAGTTCAAGGTCAGCCTGGTCTACAATAGCAAAACTCTTGACTCAAAAAAATGGGGGAGGGGTCTCGCTTTGGGGGTAGTTTTTGAAACTATGTTAAGGACTGACAGCCTATAGCTCGAGGGTCAATGCCAGCCTACTCTGTAGACTGCTTTTGTAAATGAAGCTTCATTGGGAACACAGCCATGCCTGGGAGCAATGGCAGAAGTAAGTTGCTGTGACAAGACAAGACAGATCACAGATCCCAATATATTTCCTTTTTAGCCATTTGTGTTTACCAACCCCTAAGTGAGACACGTATGGTTAGTTTGTAGTGGTGAAGGGTTGTGGAAGGGAGGTGTCCCTGTCACGTATCTCTTCCTTCTGCCTGCTGTGTCTAATGCAGAGCTTTGACTCAGAGTGGCAGCCCTGGATCTGGCTGCAGAAGTTGAGAAGGAAGCCTAGAAGTGTAGGCAGAAAGGAAGGGGCGTCTGGTATCTACAGACCACAGAGCAGAAATGGCCTCCACTCCTGCAGCTCCCTGCTGACGCCTCTCCTGCATGCTCTCTCCTAGTCATCCAGTTTGGTTTTGTCACCCTTTTTGTGGCCTCCTTTCCACTGGCACCAGTGTTTGCCCTCCTCAACAATGTCATCGAAGTGCGGCTGGATGCAAAAAAGTTTGTTACAGAGTTGAGACGTCCAGATGCTGTGAGGACCAAAGACATTGGTATGTACCCCCTTAGGGACCTGGCATGCTTCAACCCCAACCCTGTGTGGCTTCTCCCATCACCTGCACCTCAGAACTCAGGAGGCTGGCACAGCCCTCCTTTCTTAACCCCTTGGAATTTCTCCTGTTCCCATTCTTGCATGTGGGAAGGCCCACGGAAGTCATATTAAGTACTCCCAGTTGTCCCCTTAAGCTTTTCTGAGCAAGCCCAGTTCTGGGAGGAGGGCAGAAAGCCTCCCCAGGTAACCTGCTGACAGAATGTCATCCCGTTCTGTGGTTCTGCTGCTTGTCTCTGAGCCCAGGGTGGGACTAACCAGAGATGGCCGCGCTTCTGTCTTACAGGAATTTGGTTTGACATTCTCTCTGGAATTGGCAAGTTCTCTGTCATCATCAACGTAAGTGCTTGCATTCAGAATGCCTTAGCTATCTGACTGTGCATCTAGAGAGCCCGGCGTTCAAACAGGAGCCAATCCCGTTACCTCCCAGCCTTTCCTGTCTGGAGCTTTGTTTCAGACAGCCTCTTGTTTCCTGGCACATGCAGGCATTGTAGCTCATGTTGCTGCCCGGCAGTGCAATTTCACTTTTCATTTCATTAAGAGAGACACAATTATCCATCTGACTGTATGCTTTGACCTTACGAGGCAAAAGCAGGTCTTTCCTTGGAGCCAAGAATAATGAAGAAGAAATTGACCTATCTGCCATTCTGTTTCTACCCTTTAGTTAAACAGAGCCTGGACTGTTGCCCGGGTTGCAATTCCTAGTTTGGCTTCCTCCATAACCTCAGTGCAAAGTCTTGATAACTTTTGTGGACTTGGGTACCCCGTAGGTTAATCTAGGATAAGTAATGAAGGGGATTCTACCTGTTGTGACTCTCTTATCTGCCTTGACAGACTCTTACGCATGCAGAGAAATTCCTTTGCTTTTGTGTCCTGGATAGATGGAGCCAGACAGAGCATCCCTTTTGCTGTTCCCCATAAGAAGGCACCAGCCAGCTAGGTGTACATCCAGAAAGCCATAGATCATGTTCCCTCAAAAAGGAACATTAACTCTGGCTCTCACCTGGCTCCTTGACACCTGCCCATAAATGATCAAGAGGTGTGGGAGAAGCAGGATCAATCTGCTGCAGGTTGAATATTTCGATGTAGGAAGTACCTATTTTCATGCTTAGAAATAATGAACAATTAGAAAGGGGGTCAGCTATGATTTTGAGCCATGTCTACTAGGAACCCTCAGTGTTGGGTACTGTCTATCTGTGCTGCAGAGTGACAGTGCATTTTGCTTCCCTGGCCTCTCTAAGTCTAGCTCACTCATCAAAACAAGAGGACGTAGTAATGACATCTACCATATAGTATCATTCTAGAAATGAAGTGGGATAATAGAGGGACAAACAAGTGCTCAGGAAATACAGTTATGACAATTACAAGTGTGTTATTAATTTTCAAATATGGGCATGGCCTACTTACATATACACGTTTAGAAAAAAAATACCGAAACCAGATTTTAAGGGGCTTTAATTGTTGGTGCAGAATATAGTATAAACAGCTGCCAGAAAGATTTAAGGTTTTCTTTGCGGAAAGTAACTCCAAATCCAAACATGCAATCACTCACCTGCATTCAGATTACTCTTGGCCATTTGTAGAGCACTTAGACATCCCGTATGCTGTGTGGGCTGTGTATGGCCCATCTAGCAGGCCCCGTGCCCTTCCCTTTCTGTCTCTCCCCTTTCAAAAGATGAATAAAGGAACAGCTTCTATTGCACGAGGCACTGCAAAGTATCTAGAGATGCTGATCTGATTGAGGAAACGGTGGAACTGTGTTCCTGGCTCTTTAGTGTCCTCAGGGCAGACGTACACAGCTTTCAACTCTCTTGACCAATCTACTAGTGCCACTGCCATCACTACAAGTGATTTTCTCAGAATACCTTGAACTCTGTTGGGCTCAGTCAATAGCAGTGTCAGTCCAAGTATCTTAGAGGTACATAGAAGCTTCTAACACTCAATGTTGTCACTTCCTTTGTCCAGAACTGTGAGCCATATGAACTTCAGGATAGACACTTGAGCATACTGTGGATGTTTCCATGCCAACCCTTGTAGCTCCTCTTGATGGTGTGCCACAAAGTGGACAGTCCCTCATTCACATGGCCCCTGTGCCTTCTAGACACCACCCATTCAAACCAGTGATTCTGTCTCCTAGGCTTTTGTCATCGCTGTCACCTCCGACTTTATCCCCCGTCTTGTGTACCAGTACTCCTATAGTCACAATGGAACTCTACACGGCTTCGTGAACCACACCCTCTCCTTCTTCAATGTCAGCCAGCTGAAGGAGGGAACACAGCCAGAAAACTCACAGTTTGACCAGGAGGTTCAGTTTTGCAGGTAAAATAGTGTGGTGGAGGAGGGTCGGGGCAGTAGATTCGAAGAGTTACTTAGAGGACCTGGAGGGAGCCTCCTTCTTTTTACTCTCCATCTCCTATTCATCCCAATTGTCATGAATTCACTTAATTGAATCAGTAAATATTATTAAGTGTCTCTGTTAGATGCTACAGAGTAGATCTAGTGCTATCTAACTTTTAGCTTGCCGTCAAGGATAGGAAATAACAAAGTCAAACATCATGTAGAATTACATGTAGGCCCATGTACACAGCGGGTATTCGAAGGATGACATGGAGATGACAAGGGTCTAGAGTGGAAAAGATAAACTTCCTGGATGAGCTGCAAGGAGTTGAATATCAGAAAGGGAAGGTGCTCCAGGATGGAGCCCAACAGTGGAGTTTCAGTTAAGGAGGACATTTGAGAAGAAAGTACTGGAAAACAATATGAGGTTGTATCAGAACGCCCAGGATCATATAAGCCAAGATGCTGAATTATGATAACATGAAGAACACACCAGAAGCTGTGAAATCCTTCAGCATCTTCACTATGACATGATAGGTAACTGATATGGTTTCAAAGAGGAAGATGGACTAGGGTTTGGAGAGCACGGGGAGCCATCTGAGCTGCTGCGTCACTGAGATTTGAACTGCGGTGGGCATGGACTAGAGTCACAGAGGGATTAAGAGAAAAAGAGATGAGTTTTTTTCACAAGATATGTGGTACATATGAGGGAGGCTGAGTCTGGACATGGCTGGCAAACTGTGGTTCTCTTGACATGTCAAGGAAGGTTCTAGAACCTGATCTTATAAGACACTGTGGGATTTTTACTATGGAGAGATTAGAATCTCAGTGCAGACAGACAGAGAGACATTTCCTTTATCCATTCATTTACTGATGGCCATCTAAGCTGATTCCAATTCTTAGTTATTGTGAATAGATCCGTGCTAAACACAGATATTCAGGGACAGTCATGGTGGCACATCCCTTTAATCCCAGCAGAGGCAAGTGGATTTCTGTGAATTCAAAGCCAGCTTGGTCTACATAGTGAATTTCTGTCTCAAAACACATCTGTCTCTATTGTGTGCTCACGTAGGTTGCTTTGTAAATGTACACATGGGTGAAGAAACTTGACTGCTCGGTGGTGGTTTTATTTATTTTTGTGAGGTACTCTATACTGATTTCCATAGAGACTATACTAATTTGCATTCCTCCCACCAACATTGTTTGGTTGTTTTGAGGGTGGACATTCTGACTGTGGTGAGATTGGAATCTCAGTGTAGTCAAAACAGTGAGCATGCACTCATGCTTTTGCCTTGGAATGCAAAGTCAGACTCTCCTAAGAGAGATGCTTAATCTCAGCTCCACAGTCTGAGACCATGAGATGAGATGATTGGGTCATTCCAAGCCAGACAGCTGGCTGACCTCTGATTTAAACAGATGGCCATCCTCATGCTCAATTCAAGACACTAATGGTAGCCCACCAAGAGAAGAAGAAACAGCAGGGACCAGGTCCCCAACAGACAAGTGGACTTACCCATTAGTTTATATAAAAATAGATGTCTCAAGGGGTTTTACACCTAGTGATACAAACTACCCAGTCCTCAGAAGTCCTCTTGCATGTGGATTTATTCTTACACCAGGCACTACCCAGGCCTCTATTTCTGGCTGGTTTGCCAGACTGTCTGTCCATGGTGCTGGATTTTGGTGTGTTGATCCAACAGCCAAGTTCTCTAATGTGGAAGGTCTGTGTCAGAGCTGCAAGACTCTTCTAGTAAGATATGGGTCTGCTCTAGTTTTGCCCGTTAAGCCAGTCAATAGATTTTCAGAAAAAAAAAACAGGCCCTGGAAAAAAAAGAAAAAAGGGAGGGAAGAAGAAAAAGTGGAATCAAAAGAAACTGGTGAGACTTAGGAAGCTGGGAAGGCTGGGAGTTCTCTAAGATTACAGACTAAAGCTCAGCTCCTGTTTCTCCAAGAGCGCAGGTGCCCACTGTTAGCAGTTAGAGTCAAGGCTAATGCCACCTGTCCCTTCAGCAGGTCTAGAAGCACCTGTCTGTCATAGATCACCATGGGTCTTTCTTCCCCCTGACTCCAGATCACCAAGTAACAGTTATGTTTCCTAAACACACTGACTTAAATGGCTCCACATTGGGAGCTGGGGGCTAGGTCTCATTTTGAACAAGGCTTAACTCAATCGAACAAGTCTAAATTCTGTCTTTCCCAACTGCTCTATTCAATGCGACTGTGTTTTCAAGCACCATGGGACCAGTATCAGCTGTCATGACAAATCAGGCAGACTTTCTTCTATTTATTCCATACTGCAAAGGCTCAGGACCCCAAAGCATTGTTAGGGCACGTGTCAGCACACACAGTGGTGAGCTTCCTGCATCTGCCTTAAAGTCTCTGGATTTCCCAGCCAGTTACGTACAAAACTCTGACAGTATCTTCATAGTTTCTATACAAGTAAATGAAACTGTGGTGCTATATTAACCTGTGCAAAATCATTCTCATGGGGAGATGGTTTAGAGGGTAAAGCTGTTGCCATGAAAGCATGAGGATCTGAGTTCAAATCCCCCAAGCCCACACAAGGCTGGATACAGTACAGTGCATCTGTAATCCCAGTGCTCCTACGGGAAGATGGTAGGCACACACCAGAGAATTCCCTGAAGCCCACGGACCAGTCAGCTGGCCAGGTGCTGAACAAAAGACCCATCTCAAAGATAATGGAAGACAAGGACTGCCAGCACAGGCTGTCCTCTGTACTCCTGTGAACAAATACACACACACACACACACACACACACACACACACAGCATGATGGGGGAGATGGAAAGAAAGATTTAGCAGAGGCAAGCAGATCTCTGTGATTTTGAGATCAGCCTGGTCTACAAAGCTACACAGAGAAACCCTGTCTCCAGCCCCCAAAAAGAAGCCTGCTGGCAACGAGTGACAGAATTACCAGTAGGGACATGTATAGGAGGTGTACTTTATTTCTATGCTTCTGCCAAGACAACGCATCTGTGTAAACAAATCATCCTAGCATCAATCTGGAATGACCTTTGGAGCAGTGGGTTTCGGTACCAATGAGGATGGTGGGTCATTGTGCAAATGTGTGTAAAAACCCTGATACAGGTTCTGCAGTCCAGAACACCACAATGCTTCTATCTCAAGGTCCTGATGGAGCAGGTGAGGCTGTGATCAGGTGATTAAAATGCCAGTCTAGTAACATCCAATGGAGTCAATGAAGGGACAGCCCTGCATCTCACTCAGAGGTAAACATTTGGGGTAAGCATTCAAAGGAGATGTAACATGAAGAATGAGGAATTCAGTGGCCACAGGAATCATCTATTTTATGTTTTTGCTTTGTTTGTTTACTTGAGATTGGGTCATCTCATGTAGCTTGAGCTGGCCAAATGACTATGTAGCCTAGGCTGGCTTTGAACTCACAACCCCTTTGCCTTCTCCCCCCTTTAAAAGAGTATGGGAATTTGAGTTACAAAATAAGACATAAAGCTAATTATTGTCTGAGTTTTAACTTAGTCAGGGATCTTTCGCTTTTGGGTAGTAGATAAGTGCATACAGATACATTTAATGGTGAAATTGTGAAATCCTATGGGAAGTGTCACAGCTTCAGAATAGCTGTTCTGTATCTGTATCTGTATCTGAGATGCACAGACTTCGTGTCTGGTTAGTTTTGTTGCATGATGCTATTTATTTGTAAGTCCTTTATAATAAAGTGCTAATACATTTTAAGAAAAAAATTTAAAGCTTGAATTGCAGGTATGGACTATTATATCTGGTTTACAAATAATTCTGTTGGAATACCATATTCATATGGCAAAGCCAGTCTGGCTGTCAAACAGATTGAAGGCAGCAATAGTGGAGAACAGAGTGCCAAAGGGGATGTTGGGTGGTGAAGGGGGTGCATGCAGAACACTGTATCCAAGACAGAGGCTAGAAGGAGAAGGAGAAACAGATGTCAGATTCAGAATGTATTGGTCACAGTGATGTGTGTGGAGTCTTCAGGGTGTTGTCTCTCTGTGGACAGTTAAGGTGACTGGATTATGTTGAAGATAAGATGCCTACTCAAATGTAAGTGGATGTCTAGGGAGCAGGGTCAGCAATTGTCTAGTGTGTCAAACATATTAAGAATTGTTGATGGAAACATCTACATAATGTAGGTCTGAGAGAGCGGGGGGGAGAGGGAGAGGGAGAGAGACGAGAGAGAGAGAGAGAGAGAGAGAGAGAGAGAGAGAGAGAGAGAGAGAGAGAGAGAGAGAGAGAATTGAATATGGCAGATGGAGATAAAATGCTGTGAGAGTCAGATGCAAGTCTCTAGCCCTAGAGCCCAGCTCTATGATTGCTTCTGCATCAGGAAATGAAGTTTACATTGATTTTTCTGGCAAATAGCCTTGGAAACTTGATGGTCTTTCTTATTCTCAGCCGTCAACAATCTCTGAAATATGGTCACATAAAACTGAGGTCTTGGTCTCCGACCTAAGTTTATCAGGGATAGTGGTCTTAAAAATTGTGGTGGATATGAAGACATGCCTTTGACTGCCGATCTGCAGCTTTGAGAGGCAAACCCAATGTTTCTGGAGACATTCTGACTTCAGCTATTGAACTGCTCCAGCAGGACTGCTCCTCAAGCAGTCCCAAGATGTCAGCAAGCAGACATGATTAGTGATCATTTGACAAGATCAAGCAGCCACCTTGCCCTGGGGTCTGAATAGCATCTCAGTTCCCGACTCAGCAGGGAGGAAGTAGGGAGTTCACCGGGGCAAGAACACACATGGGCACCATCACCCCAGCTGGCCTGCTTGGAGGTGTTGAAGTTGCAGAAGCAGGCACCCTCAAGTGGCTCCTGCTAGGTTCTTCTGGGCATAAGCACTTCCATATTCCCAAGGTCCTGTGCAAAGCCTTTGAAGAGGTGCTTTCCCTGCCAGCCTATGGCTGCCTCACATCTGTCCCATGGTGACACCAGAGGTAGCTGGTTTTCCCAGGTG